CCCCAAAACCCCAAAACCCCAAAACCCCAAAACCCCGAGATGAAAAATAGATGAAATTATGAAATTAAGAATAAAATTCAGTCAACTTTTCTAATATTTTATCCAATAGCGTTATTTTTGAATAATTATAAATGACTCATTGATCTTTTCATCTGTGGATTATTGTTCCAATAGAATTTTCTTGAATTCCACTTGTTAGAAAAGTTTTCGCTGTTCAACTCTTCGATATCTTTTTCGGCTTTCTGTTTTTCTTCAATTCTCCTCATCATTAAAGTTTCAATTTTGACTGCATTTTCAATTACTTTTTATGGTCTCTCAGAATTAAAGAGTAAAGCCTTTTTGTTTAGTAAACCTTTCTAGTTATTTTTAGCGGTTGGGCTTAAAACCAACAAATTACCATTATTCTTTCTTAAAATTCCAAACTTTCTTGCTGCTTCCTCAATAATTTCACTCTCATTTTTATAAATCTATTTATCCATTTTCATTTCGGTCTTTAATCTCTGAATTTTCTCTTTTTCCTCTGTTGAGCTCTTGAAATTGTACTTATAAAAATTCTCATTAATTTGCTTTCTATATGAGTCAATCCTATCTTATAAACTTTTCATTGATTCTGACTCTTTTTTTTTCTTATAAAATGTCCTTAAATCACTATTTAATACTAAACTTGTCTAAGATGTCATTTAGGACAGCATTTTATTCTAATTCTAAGCAAATGCGTTCATTTCTGAATCAAATACAACTTGATCTATTCTATTTTCAATGATAAGAAGTAGAAAATCCTTTATTGTATAGCCTGAGAGAAATGGGGGAAGGTCATTTTTTGCTAAAAATTAGATAAAGTAATCAAGTTTTTCTTCAGTGACTTCATTCCCAACGTAACTACTTAGAAACTAAAGACTTTATTGAACAAAATATTACAGTTTAAGAATAGTAGTATTTATTTATTGGATCATTCTCAATAATCTTCTTTATTTTCATGAGCTCACTTGCTATCCTATAATACCTATCTCTTTCTGAATGATTTTTAATTTTCATTGACTCTGTTATTGGAATATTAGGCGGAGAGGGCAGTGTTGTGCATTAAAAACAATTCATAAATAGTTCATTATTATTGCTCATAAATGTTCTTATTGGAGGCTATTATTCTAAATTACTTGAAGAAGGCTATTATTTTTAATTTCTTAAAGATTATGAGCTTTTATTCTTCATGTGAGATAATCTTATGACTGCTCTCATATTTTTTGGATTTTTCATTTAACTATCATCATTAATATCCCTATATTTAGCAAGATATTCTTCTAATGTAGCTCTAGGATCCTTGTCAATAAATTAAGAATTTTCTTTAATAAACTTTTCAATACTCTCTTGTTCTTTTTAAGATTATTAGCTGTTTAGAGAAAGTTAAGAAGCTCCTCTCTGTAAAAGTATTATATCAGTATCAGGTGAAAATGTTTTAGAGCCTAATTTATTGTTCTATCGAGATTTATTCTTATTTGTACCACTCATTGGAGATGTTTGTGCATTTTTGGGGGAAGATTTTAAATCTAGTTTATTTCTATGGTTTATCGCTGACAGCTTGATTCTCTCCTCAACTGAGACTTTCATAACCCCTTTAGGCTACTAATCATCAAGATTGAGCTAAAATTGCCTCTGTTGAATGCTCTATAACTCGTTGCCGTTTTTCCCATAAAATTTAGGTTCTCTTAATTCATAGCTATTTAATCTATGACTAGAAGCAGCAGATGGACTTACAGGTCTATCATCTAAATTATTGCTTTGAATAGTAGTTTAAGGCTTTATTAGCTATTATGATATGACTTAAGGCTTATCAGAAAAAATACTGTTCTTCCTTTAATTTGGTTTTGGTGCTCTCTATGATAAAGCATATCCCTTTTTAAGTTATGAAATAAGTTACTGTCTATTTTTGGTAAATACACTTTACTACCTGCCAGATTATTAAGATTAACCCTACGTTCTCATATTTACGATAGTAGAAGTCTTTTAATGCATGTCATTTGTGAAAATCCTCTCAGACTTATGAAAGTTAGTTTGAGTTTTGGGTTGAATAGGATTAAGCAATTTAATTTCTTATGATTCAGTTATTATGGAACCTTGACTGTTAGGTCTATGCAAGAATTGCATTTTTTATCTATGCTTGTAGCTCTTAACATTTTCTAAGCTTTATCTATCTCTTTAGGCCATCATCAGCTAAGGATCGATATTCCTAGGGACATATATCTTGGTTTGCTTCATCAATTATTTGATGTCAAAGTTTCTTTTCATGCTAATTTCCTAAGGAGTCCAATCAGAAAATGAGTTGTAATTAAAAGCATCGAAATATTTATGTGACCCATAAATTTTGCCTAAAATATGTTTAAGACTATCGGTAGATTTATGATTACTATTTGATTATAAGTAATTGCTGAGCTTGCTATTATCTGTTTAAGAAGTAAGAATTGTAGATAAAGGTTATTATAAAGGCTACATTTTTTATTTTAATTGATTAATAAGTTAAAATTGAACTTTCAAATTATGGGAACTTGCTATACTATGAAATTTAACAAAAAGAAAAATGATGATGATTATGATAGCATATAACAACCCACAATGTCAGAAACAATGACTAAAATTAGAAGAATGCATCTAGAATCCGAGTTGAGATAGAAGTAAATGAATAATAATAGTGAAAGATAAAAATAAATGAAAAAAGCATTGCAAGAAAAACTTATGCTCAAATCAGGTTTGTTCTCAACTTTGAAACTTGAGGATTAGATTGAGCTCTTTAAAAAATAATTCGTAACCAAGTTAGTTATAGAGCCAGATGGAATATATTCTAATTATCTACTCCACATATTTATGCAGAATTTTCAGGATACTAATTAGTTGAAATAACTAATTAAATAGAGTGGAGTTCAGCAAATTGTGAGACCCTAACATAATAGTTAAAGTGATGAGTTTATAACTTGTGGAATAAACATTGAAGAAATATTGTGCAAGTTCTTAAACTAACATTCATAGAAATTCTCAAATTTCTCATTTCAAGAGAAGGCATAAGTGGATGAAAGCATGAAAGTGATAGATTATAAAATTTAAGCTTAGGATGAATTGAGATAAAAAGTAAATCTTGATGTAAAATTTTTCATAGCTGACATTCATAATAATCCAGAAATGCTCATAAAACTAATCCATCAAGTTCAAGTTTACAAAATACTTTAAAGCAGAATGCCAATCAAAATTCATGAGGAAATATTTGAATGCACTCACGATAGTCTCAAAGGTATATCTAGGTATTGTCTAATCTACGAAATTTAATCAAAGGAGAATCATGGAATTAAGACTGTCACTGAGCAAGTAAAAGCTTGGCACAAAATTCAAACTTAAGATCAAGAGGGATTAGAATAATTTAGTCTGGAAAAGCTTATTTATCTGACTTTACAAATGATGCTTATTATCATAGATTTACAGCAATTAGATATGTATAGCTACCTAGAGTTTCAAGAATAAAGCCTCTTAATTAACAGCTATGGCTAACTTCTTCTCAGCTCCAACTACGAATTATCCTACAAACTCATAAAAATAAAGAAATCAGACATCACTACTCAGGAAAAATAGTAGGAAATAACAAATTAACAAGAACTCTATCTAATCATGAGCATAATGTCAAATACTCCTGAATAATATGACTTAAAGGAGATAGTGTATTAAAAGAATATGCCCGACCATAATAATAATCTTCAAATAGCTCTTATCACCTAAAAAATATTTGAAGCTTTTGAATAGTATCATGATATACCAGTAATCAAAGAAAGTTTCTTGAAAGCTGGATTTAAAAAGCCCAAGATGGATGATAATACAGATGAAGACATTTAATTTAGCATTAACCAGTCAGTAAGATATTAAGAGGATCTCAGAGATCTTATAAAGATTATATTGAAAGAGCTAAAAGATCCTAAGTTAAATCTGAATTTAAAAGATGTTTACAAAAATATATTCATCAGACTCTATGAAACAGGTGTATTTGTAAATCTTCTAGAGTAATTTTACATTGAAAAGAAGTACAAATAGATAACTTACCTATTTGAGATAATTCTTAGTTCCAATTAACTAAAAAATGATGAAATTTTTCAAAGCAAATTTTACATCTTATTATTCGCTGGCAAAGCCTATATAAAACTAAATATGGCAAAAGAAGCATTAAAGACACTTGAGGAATGCTATGAGTATTATCTATTGAAAAGTGATAATGGAGTGAGTATCAGATATTAATATGAAGAAATGCTTGTTTCATATGAAAGGTCACTTGCCTTACTCAAGTCTGGAGATAAAATCAAAGCACTTGAATAGGCTATTAAAATTTAACAAACTAATCATAGAAAATTTAGTGAATACAATTAATTTAGTATGAGGTGCTTAAACCTCTTATACAAATGTCATCTCGAGAATAAGGACTATGAAAAAGCTCTAAAAAATCTTGAACTGAAACTCAATTACCAATAGAGAATTTATGCAGTAAATCCATTTAATCTTAATGTAGCTAAGACTCATTTCAAGATTGGTAAAACATTACATCAACTGGGTAAGTACAAAATTGCTTTGGCACATGTTGAGAGTGCTTAAAAAACATTTGAGAGAGTGCTTGGAGAAGGGAGTATTAAATCTATGGAAATCTTGAAGGAACTTGCTCAAGTATAAATAAAATGTGAAAATTATAACTTAGCATTAAAGAACTATAAATTTTTACTAGCCTAGCATGAGATGTTACTAAGTCCTTACCATGTCGAGATTTTCTAAGACAACAAATTTATAGGTTAATGTGCCATCGAGGATGCCAAATATGATATAGCCCATCTTCATTTAATGATAGCAATAAGAATAGCTGAAAAGGTCTTTATTATTCCTTTGGATGAAAACAACACATCTAAATTTTATCCTAAAAATAAGGATAGTGTATTCAATTCACTTGATATAGAGCATGAATAGTTCTCCTATGTAAACTATCTTTTGGGTTAGGTAAATTTTAAGGGTCTCAAAAATTTTGAGTAAGCAGATTTCTACTTTGAAACAGCATAGAGACACATCTAATAGATATCAAACTTGGATTCTTAATAGGAGTATATAGCATAAATTTAGTATCATCAAGGTTAAAATCTTGTTATGTTTAATAAACCAGATAAGGCTAGGAAATTGCTTGAGCATGCACTAGATTACTTCAAAAGATAAGATTAGCTTGAAGAATATTATTATAAGACTTCAATAGATATCTTTATGAGTCTTATCAGCATTAAGAAATCTCTCGATCATGATATTCCTGCTCAGATTTCAGCTGAAGATTACATTGTATATATTAAATCGGCTATTGTCAAAATAAAAAAATTATACCTAAAAAAACAAGATTATGATCAAAGATTTGAAGTCTTTGAGCAAGAATTGGATTTGGTAAAGGCTTATAATCAACTTTTATATTTCTATATGAAAAACAAGAATGATAATGGTAAAAATAATATCAAAATTTAGGAGATACTTGAAGATTAATTACGTGTATACAAGACAGCTAAGCTTCAATATGAAAAAATAGCATAGGATAAAAAAAGAGATTAGATGGATGAAGGAATAAGGTTGTTAAACAAGAAAACATATGATAAGTATTAGGATCTAATTGATTAATACAGCAATGAGTATCTATTATAGCTAGCAAAAATTGGAGATTTCTTTTTGATAATCGAGGAAATCGGGAGAGCAATCGCATTTTATGAGAGAGCCAAAAAAACATATGAGGGATTCATAAAAATTAAAGACTATCAAAGAGTATTCGAGATACAGATCAAATTAGCTAATGCCTATTATCACTCTGGCTAACATAAGGAGTGTTTATCAATTTATTTGAATATCCTGAATAATGAGAAAACGAGGTATTAGGACTACTTGAGTGCTCTTCCTAAGATAAATTAATATTAACTTCATAAGAGAATAGGTGAGCTATTTGAGAATATTTAGTCTTTTAAAGATTCAATAAAAAGATATCAAAGATGCCTTGAAATTTTGCCTCTGGCTTTTGAAATAGAATCTGATGATTATGTTGATGAAAATATATAATTATAGAGTTCTTTAGCTTATTGCTGTAATTCTATTGGGGCTATTGATATGGCTCTAAATTATTAGAGAGTTTTACATGAATTAAATATAAAGTATTATGGATAAAACCATCCAAATACTTTTAATAGTGGTATATCTATACTAAAACTTTTGGATAAACTAACTTATAACTAATCTAAATAGATATATGAAGAAAAATAAAAACTTAAAATTCAAGTGAAAGACATTGTCCTTGCTCTTTCTGAAAAATATCAAGATTTAGCTTTTGATAGTGATGATTTAGAATTCGTTATTTTTAAGAATTATTTGTAATCTCAATCAATAATACTCACTTTGAATGAGTACTTTTAACAAGATAAAGACTCTAGCTTTAAATTCCTTAGTGAATTTAATAATAAAACGATGGAGAAACTCAAAGAGTACTTTCAAACTATAGATTAATCCTTTTAAAGTAAGGAAAAGGTAATCTAAGAAACTATTAAAATTAAAAAGCAGGCTAATTATCAAAGAAAGAAAGCTAGAGTTTATAAGTGATTATTATTTGTATTTCTAAAAATTATATCTTTTCAATGGAACTTCAATAATCCTTTCTCTAGGGGGTTTTGGGGTTTTGGGGTTTTGGGG